TTCTTGTGAAGGATTTGGAAGTGGAGTATTTTGAGAGAAATTTATTTGTTTATAAAGTAAATATAGGTAAGGATAGTTTTAAACTGATTAATGTAAAAAAAATAATTATACACGAGTGTTTTGAGATTCAACAAAATATAATTTTAGAAGGATTATATTTAGTTACGCAACATCACTTGTAAATACGTATGTACTGGTATATTATTGTAAAAAACTTGAAGTATTCGTTTCCAACGTGTAATAAAACATAAATTTGTGTAAACCGACAAAAATATTATTTTTAAGCATCACCAAACGGGTAACAAAATCCAAGAAAATATGGTGGTGGCCTGTCACTGATTGGTAGTAAAAATCATTGATCATTGTATCACCGCTGGTAGTCGTCTATCACCACGACGGTGATCGTGGATTTTATCACCGGCTGGTGGTCGGCTACCACCATTGCGGTAGATTCACATATACTCACCGGCCGGTGACAGAACGGTGATAAAATTTCTAAGAGTGCACCAAGGGAAAAAATTTCTAGTGGTAGCTGAAAAGTGAGCTTTTTTTGAAAGGACATGACCTTTGACCTTTGAGATATTTCAAAAACAAGGACGCAATTCAACCACAATCTTTCTGGACTACTAGTGTGCAAAATTTCAAATTTTTATTTCCACCCATGTGCGATATATGCAGTTTTTTTAGGGGTGTCCATACTTGTTGGATTGACTGTATATTCCTGGTAATGATGAAATGTATGTACATCTAGTCGTCCGTGGGACAGAAATCTGTCTCCGTCTTAAAGCATCGATTCGACCGTGTATAAATATAGAATGGCACAATTTCTGATAGGTTATTTCCACAATTACGTTAGTCGCATTACATACAAAATTCAAAGAAAATTCAGTAAATTGAGATTTCGAATATCGCGTTATTCCGTCAAGTTATATTATTCACTTTGTTGCCAAATTCTTGGAAATTCCACGTGCCCAAGGTAAGTTTTATACAATAAAGTGCATACGTTCCCTTAATTGATCCAGACACGCATTCCCCACTTTAAATTTATTTATTGTTTTATTTATTACATCGAAACCTGTTTCTTCCAAGACCTGTTACTTACATTTAACTATTTATTTAAGCCTGACTTTTCGTTAATTAAGACGTCCAGTTCCAACGTAAAAAATGCCAAGCCCAACTCCAGAAGTTGTCGACCCCGGTGTGCTGGATGCTCTTATCGTCGGTGCTGGATTTTCGGGTCTTTACACCCTCTGGAAATTAAGACAGCTTGGCTTCACCACGAAAATCTTGGAAAAGGGACCCGACATTGGAGGAACGTGGTATAGCAACCGCTATCCTGGAGCCCGAGTGGACATTGACATTCCAATGCATCAACTTTCCGTCGAAAAAGTTTGGTCCAGCTTCGAGTGGAGTGAACGCTTTCCAAAGAGAGACGAACTCTTATCCTATTTTCAACACTTTGTCAAAACCCTCGACTTAATGAAGGACATTGAATTCAACACCCACGTCGTCTCGGCGACCTTTGATGAAACCCAAAATGTATGGGAAGTTAAAACCGCGACAGGAAATATAACTCTGGCAACCCATTTAATTTTATGTGTCGGATATACTTCTCGAAAATACACCCCAAATTTCTTTTAGGATCAGACAAATTCCAAGGAAAGCTCTACCACGATCAGTTCTACTTCTCATGATGATGCAAAGGAAGTGATGAGAGTTCATATCAGCGCGCTGGACAAGGACGGAGATGGATTCGTGGATGAATCCGAGTTTAACGCTACGGTCCAATTATGCCTAATTCATGACCCATCCTTCCCAAAAGTTGAATTTGACAAGTTTGTGGAGGAAGCGGACACCGATGAAGATGGGAAAGTTGGCATTGCAGAAGCTACGGAATGTTTTTGCAATCATGGGAAAAATAATTGATTACGGGATTTCGGAAATATTCCGGGGGTTCCTTTGTTAGAAATGTTTTAGGATAATGTTTAATTCGTTTGGTTATTTTGTAAGGAAATTTTGACAGAAACAAGATTTTGTTTTTGATAATACGGGAAATAAAAGTAGATCCAGCGCTAAGCTCTACTTATGACTCCGTCATTTCAATTTGTGAATGCATGTGAACTAAGGTTGTTTTACTTGGGGGGTTGCTGGGGAGAATAATCTTAAGCTAATACAGGTTGTGTCAGTTTATTCGATTTTTCAAAAAATGAAAAAAATCCGGACTTTGGTACTGCAATTAATTTCACCCCTGAATTTACATAACGACATATTTTTAGGCTTGACAACGCCTTGGGAAATCCCAAAGTCCGGAATTTTTTCTTTTTTTGAAAAATCGAATAAACTGACACAACCTTTATTTCCGTCAGGTTATTCTCCCCAGCAACCCCCAAGTAAAACAACCTTAGTTCACATGTAGTCACAAATTGAAATGATGAGTGGGGGGTGGAGTCGACATCGTGATTCCAAATGATGATGCGTTGATTCGTTTAGGGACGTAGAAGTCGCTCCGATGGTCGAGGTGTATTCCCCTCCGCCAAGGGAATGTGACAGGAACGAGTATGAAGGTATTTGGAGATGGAAAAGTCCACTTCAAATTGGGGGAGGCCGGTTGATTAAAACTCATGTAACTGATACTCGGTCCTGTTTCGCAATATATACGGGTGCCAGTATGTTTTGAAACTTTTACAAGAGGAAAAGGGTCCTCCCACAAGGCCAGACATATACTGTAAGTAGGGAACGTACTTTTGCATCGTAATGCTATGATGATGATGGTGAGAAACGTCAACTTGTCCAAAAGGGTAGCAGAGTCCAAATTATAAAACATTGATAATCGTCGTAATTTAAAACGAAAAAACATATGTCTTCAAACTACCATGTTAAACGAAGTATGGGCTTTAATTTGGTACTCAAAACATAATATTGCCAATATTTTGGAAATTAATTTTCAAGATTTAAATAATATTAGACGGAGAGCAGTTTTTTGTTGCTCTCTTCTCGGCCCGCGAAATAAATTGTGAGCGAGCGAGTGAGAGAACGAGCGAAAAAGTATTCCTTGTCAATGCGCTAAAACGAAGAATAAAAAAAAACATTTTACACAGGTGCGCTTCCACTACAACCACTCCCACAACAGTGGGGGTGGTTCAAATGGAAGCGTACCTTGTACATCATCACATACGTACATACTCCTATTAAACAAGGCAGTGGGTGTATGCACGTACAGAAATTGGGCTGCTTGTAAATACACAAATTCAGGATGGTCCCCAGTATGAACTTTACACACTTAAGACGAATTCCTCGATAACGTGTCTGAAATTTGCAAGAAAAGAATCGCAACTAAATACGTCATGCGAGTTGGAGTAGTAAATACGATAAGACATCACGAGATGTTGGGTTAAAGTTCAATGTAAATGATATTTATTGTAGGTGACAGCCTTTCCATGTTATTATACATACACAACCGTAGTCTGTTCAACTTCTGTACCTCATGAAAGCAGATACAGTCGTACATTTTATACTGTATTGAATCCCAAACCTTGTCTGTTCGCGCATCAGTATAATCATTCTTTGGAGAAAAACTGTAATTTTCAACAACCCTATAATAATATGAGGATTGCGACGTCAATAGAGCTGAAAGTGAGTCGAGTCGAGTCTAGCCAACACTCTTCTTGACTCATTTAACGTGTGAGTCCTATACGAAGACTCGAGTCTGGGGTCGGACTCAAACTCGACTCGACACGATTCTACTCGTCCTTAATCCTCCATCCTTAATAATTTGTATCTTATTCGGATAATTTAATTATCAGGTTTATTACAGAAATTTTAAAATGTTGCTTTATTTTGGCTTTTGAAATTTCAACTAAAATTTAAATAAATAATTTATACTAAACAACACAAAAATATTAATTTTAAATTAAATAATTTTAGTTTAATTTAGAGTTGCCGATAAGCATGTCCTGCCCATGTATAAAAGACATGGGCGGGACGAGCTCATTGGTGACTCTAGTTTAATTCAAAAATTTAAATTTAAATTTAATTTAATTTAAAAATGTAATTAAAAATTTGCTTCAAATTTAACTTTTTTTTTTAATAATCGCATAAAATTTTTTACGAAATTGAATTTGACAAATAATTCATAGTCTCTACATGCATAATTCAAACGAAATTTTGTCGTTATAGATTTAAACCATTTAAGGCGTACGATTACATACAACAAAATGTAGTAACTCGGGCATATTATAGCATTTTTGGTCATGGTGTGCGAGAGAAAAATAAGCACTGTTAACACAATTCGTATGTAACAACAACAAAATTATAAAATCCAGCCTTTAACATTGCATTCTATTGAGAAAATCCCAAAATTTTGGTGAAGAAAGCTATAATTTTAACATTGGTTGACCTTGGTTGGGGATTTTTCATAATGTTTTCACTGGTAACGACTAGAAACAAAATATTCATTATTGCCAGTTAAAAAATATTAATGAAATTCCCCCCTGACCTGTTAATTCTGAAAGATTCTCTACAGTGCAGCCGATTTTATGCGTAATAAAAGATATTTTAAACCCCTACACAAAAACAAGAGAACCTCAGGGTGTGAAAATTACGTACAAATACTACAAAAACAAATCGCATGGAAGAAATGCACGTGGTCCTGAACATACAATCAAGCATTTCCTACTTGTATTTAACCTTGAATAAAATTATCTTCTCTTCTCTTTAACATGCAAACCCACAATTTTCAGATGTTGCTCTATATAACATGAGCCAAGCTAATCAGAGCACATTTTGCTTTGCACGAGTACATATTCTGTAAAATACAGAAGAGAATGTAGACTGCCATTTACTCCTTGTTGAACTTGAATGAAAGCCCAAGTTTATTTATGTAACCAAGCACAACACAACGCTTCTCACCCGATTGGACTGGTTTACTGGGATAAACACGAAACATTTGGTTCGGTTAATATTATGCCAAAGTGGAAAAATTCTCACTTTAATCCAACACTTTTCACAAGTTACACCGATTTACTCAAGCCAAACGCAAAATTTACTGTATTTCTGATCCAGTGGGTTACATGAAAATTTAAAAATAACTAAAGGAAAAATGTCACATTGTGACATCCCTTCTGCGCCACACTGTATTAAAATTAATCACCACCACCACAACTGTGTGGCCTCTGTGTCAATTTCATGCAAACTTGTCACATCCTTTTTGAACCACCCTGTACAGCCGAATACATAAATCACCGTGCAAAATTACACAATCTGAAGAAGATGAATGTATGAGTGATCCTGGGTGAAGCTTTATCGTTTCTTTCTTCGTCCCAACTCTTGAGACGTAAATTGTTGAGTTGGCTCTTCAGTCGTAGAGGTGGAATCTTGGTGGACGCAAGGACAGACAAACTTGTGAGAAAATAATATGCAGAAAAATAATATTATTGCAGTCACTGCGATCCTCCTTGTTATTCTCGTTACTACAATTTCCATCTGCCTGATTTCATACCAGGTAAGAAAAAAATAAAAATACTTCCCCAGGAGGAGGCGATATTTTTAGAAGAAATTTAAAGCCTAATGCCACCTAGGAACACACTTCTGAGGACGAAGAGGAACTTATCCCCATAACGACAACATCGACAGCGTCGCCCCCCATAACGCCGGTGCCGGAGGACTACAGCCGTGTCAATGAGGTATGATAAATACGGAGCTAGGGCGTCCGAAACCGTACGATTTTCTGATACCGGTTTGCAAAACATGTCCCTTAAAAAAATTCTGCTATTTTTTAAATAAACGCGTCCGCAGGCAAGATGAGACTAACATGAAAGGCTTAAATAATCACGTGGACATGAACATAAAATTTTAACATCATGAAAAATTCAACATAAAAATCAAACTCTTTACAACTAATTGAAAACTACAGTGACAGTTGGTTTCTACCGAAATATTTCTGTAGGTGATGTTCCAGCGAAGGGGAGCCCCTCTCAAGGAGGGTCAGCCTCGTGAAGGGTTTTACTACAGAACCTGGACCGAGTATGAAAATGGATTTGGGGATCAAGATGCAGATTTTTGGCTGGGTGAGTGGGTAAATATTGCTCAGTTAATTAATCACGTGCACCCATTCTGATCAGTGTACATATGTACTCCCAAACAAAAAAGTACAGCATTATTTTTTCTATACAAAGCAGTTTTTTATGTTTTTTTCTGTTTTGCTGCTTATTTAAAATGGGGAGAAGTGAGACGTGCTTTATACAGAATTCTCAATTCTGTACAAAGCACGTCTCACTAGAAAAGGGCAACCAGTTCTGAATTGATTACCCTTTTCTAGTACATAATTGTTCGCGTCTAAATTAAGTACTTCTGAAACGGAAACGTCAAATGCATTATATCACAGACAAAATGGAGTATTCGTAAAGCCGTGTCAAGATTAGCATACATATACATACGGGCTTATCTATCTATAACAGCACAATTTGAGGAAGAAGTATTTATACAAAATAAGCTTGCAAATGAAAGGAAGCAAAGTGTATTTTTTATAATTTTGATTAAATATTGATCGGCAATCTTTTTTGAATTTAATTGAATATTGGTTCATTAAAGTGAGATATCGTTGGCTGTATTGCAACTAAAACCACCAAAACAGCAAAAGCAGAAATTTTTTGTTACTTTTTTTTGATTTTTAGAGTACACTAATTTTGATCACTGATTGAACTAAAATTTAATTTCAGGGTTGAAAAGAATTCATGCCTTAACCAAGCAAGGGTTTACTCGGTTGAGCGTGAACTTGGAGGATTGGGAGGGAAACCAAGCCACCGCAAACTATTCGGTTTTCAAAGTTGCGGGTCCCGCCACTAATTATAAATTGTATCAACTCGGGAGCTATAGTGGAACTGCGGGTATGTATCCATTTACATAATACCGTACTTCTTCCTTTTGAGCTTAAAAAGTACTTTAAGCAAAAATATGGGTAGTGGAGACTGAAACTGAAATTATATTTTTTAAAATATATAATTTTCCCACTTCATAATTTTTCGCATGACGGTGTAGTCCAAGCCTAACTAACAATAGGATGCAGAGGTCGACGCCGACCAATTTTCGACAATTTTTGGTAATTTATCGGCGGCGTCGGCGTCGCGGCGCGGCGTCCCAATGTTAAGGGTATAGGAAATCGGATTTATCGGCGGCGCCTAAAATGTTACCGGCGTACGGCGCGGCGGCGGCGTGAGATCGGCGGCGTCGACCTCTGATAGGGTGTAAGATGTCCATTTTTGAGGACCTCGTTTCTCCGTATTTCCCACTTGAGATCCAAACAAAAATGTAAAATAAAATTATTCCGTGGTTGTAAAACAGGTCCAGTGGACTCAATGGCTAGGAGCAGAAGATCACCATTCACCACGTTCGATAGGGACACAGTTAGAGACCGAGGGTGCAGTTGGCACACGGCCGGACCTGGATGGCACGACGGCTGTCCTCACGTACGCACATATTTATTTGCATGGTGGTTGAAAAGGGACGCGACAAGGGAAACCTGCATTATGTAAAGAATTTTCATTCGTTTCTTCAAAATTATGCAGGCATTTATCGAATTTCCTATATACACCGTGTCCCAAATGTATCTGCTCTCGACAGGATATCCTTCTTGTGATAATGTTTGCATCCTCACTCGTGTGTTCACGAGTTTGCCTGACATTTCAGGCCATTGGGTCAAGAAATGTTTAAGAATAAAAGTAAACACAAAAGATGTAAGGGAAAAAGTTGATGAACACCGCGCGCGCGAGCGAGATGCGGAGATACTTTTGGGACACAGTGTAATTTCCAAGTATCTACATACTAGTGTTAATTCTAAAAAAGTAACCGAGGTCCTTTCCCGACCACCGAGTGTATAGACTAGTTCAAAAAGGGTGTCAGTACAAGGCGTTAGTTACATCAAACTTCAGAAAGACATTTCTAAGATTGCCTCGTGGAGAAATGACACGCTTTTTGAACCACCCTGTATACATTTCGTAAATTAACACACGTATTTATTTCCCGTCAATTTCGTTCTCTTTTTTCGAAATAAATAAATATACCTCAACTCTGTATTCATAGGCCTCCCCAAACGGCCTCTACCAGAACAGCAGCCAGGTCGATAAGGATGGGAGAGGATTGATTTGGTTTTACTGGAAAGATTCATGGTACTACTCACTTAAAAAGATTGAAATGGTGCTACATCGATCTCCCGATCATGTTTGGAAAAGCTCACAGGAAATTGACCGAGACGCCAAAAAGTGGTATTGATTGATATATTTAATAAATATGTATTATGCATTTACATATGTACGTTTAATTAAAGGTTATTGATATTACTCAATCCTTTTACGTATCTGTACAATAAAGTGTTGCACATAAAGAGGTGGACTTTACTTATTCTTATCATTTTTTTTTTACTTGATTGATATTTCCGGTATTCCAACCCTTTATTTCACCAAAAATTTACGTATTCTTGTCATTTTTTCTTTGAGGGCAGTTTGTGTCCTAAATTAATCCTAGGTGAGCATTCATGTTAATACCTCAGTATTTTGAAATACTGAGACAAATGGCTTTTATTCTTTAATTTTTGTTTACGCATACGTTTTGTTTATAGCATAGGTCTCTTCTTGGTATAAATTTGGTAATGATTTTAGTTTAAGTTGGACACACATACATACATGCATATAAATATTTCCTATCAACTAATTTATTACGGTTGGAAATTATAAGAATTTTAGTTTCCTAAACTGCCCTTAACATATGTACATAGGTTCATACGTTATGTTTCTTATCCGACTACTGTTTTACTAGAGCAACAGGGATATCATTGTTTAAGATTACACAGAAACATATTTATCTGATTAAACTACATCCCAGGAAAATGACGTTTACAGTATTTCATTTCCTGTTGGTTTGCGACATCTTTCTTTCATTACAAAGAAACGCAAGAAACACCGCCATTTAACCACGTGCCCTGTTTAAATAATACAGCGGCGGGAATCAGTTTGTTGCACGTTTGGATGTATTCAGGGTAAAAATGGGGGCAAGAAACGACATCCTTGCGGTTACATATGTACGTGCATATACCCGAATCTACTATGCACTGCAAAATTCTTACCCCAAGTCGAAATAAATACTTATTTACATACATATATTAAAGATTTCACTTTTCTCCATGAAATGTATAACGACCATAGTAATCTTACAAATCTCAATTTCCTAAAATCACTATTCTGCTGCTGGATTGATGTATTCGGTTTTTATGACCTTTTATCGTAACAATACACTTTGTAACAATTTCTGTAATGAAAAATTATGACATGTTGATGAGGGCTGCAGGCCGTATATTAATAAATACTGTACTACTACTACTACATATACTCGAATCACTGGCCGTTTAACAAATGTACATTCTTCCACTTTTCCATTATTACCACCACAACCCCAAGTCCCATCATGATTCCACATATGGGGAAAACGGGATGAATTAGTTCTACAGAAACTTGCGTAGCCTCATAAAACTGTGCAAACATTCTCGGACTTCCAAACGCGTATTGTACAGCCTCAAAGTATTTTTCTTTTCCAAGCTGAATCTTCATAGTCCGCAAGAAAAAACTAATTAAGAGTACACTGTCCCATTTTTGAGTTAACCCAGCCTCACGCAATCGCACCCATTCTTTTGCAAAGTAACTTGAGAGCAAACTCTTATCCCCGAGTTGAAAATCTAACGTCCTGAACGGAGTGTCGCCTATATTCCTGGTAATTCTACGATTCCCTATAATTCTCATAATTCTTACCATCTGTTTTTGCAGGCCTTCCGACATCATTAGAATAATTGGAGGATATCTTCGGGATGAAGTTTCGTGAAGCATTTTATTAATTTTGTGAACAGTTTCATTCGTTCTGGGTGAAATTTTGGATTGAAATTTCTTTAGGAATTTTCTAAATCTTGGATTCTGCCCACTTGTAGATATTAATTCGGGAATAATCTGATTCAAGAGGTATGATTCGTTTCCGACGTGATCCCTGGTATCGGGCGCTATTATGGAAGCGTCCCAATTGACGAGATCTTCCACCCCGGACGGGACAGGAGATGGAATTGGGACTGCAAGACAGGAATATATCGATCCCTGGTATAAATTTCCCATAAGTACGAGATTCCCCAATAACCATAAGGTGGCAAGGACCAAGCCCGCTTTTACAGTGCGGTACGACCTACCCCCACTTTCTCCCACTTGGCCGAGAAGAATGCACGTGACTGCGAGGAATTTATCCGCTACGAGAAATGTTGTTGACGAGACGTGGGGCGAGGCGGCGGTTAGAATTCCCGCCGCTGAGATGGCCGTAAGTAGAAGGAAAGTCCAAGTTTCTATGTCAAACGGGGTAACGAATGTGTCCACCCCGCCGGAATGGAAAGGTGGGTTGGACACACTTATGAAGTTGGTAGACTTGAAAGCAACCTCATAAATGTAATCTGTAGGCGTAATGTTACTAATTTTTGTGTATAAAACAATCCCAAAAGATTTCATAGGGTTTACAGATACTTTGTTACTTGGTGCATGATACTGGAGTAAGGTCAAATTATACTTTTCCGCAATTACAGCTACCGGACAAAAGTTGGTAGTGTTCAAGTTGGAAAATCCGTTATGGTTTAAGCCACAGGTTGCATTTACTGAAGACTTTATCATTACCAGATATTTGTGCATGTTCAAGTTTAAGATGTCCCAAGCTTGTCGAACGGCTCGCAGCGAGATAATAGTTTCAAGTTGAGAAGAAATGATGACATCACATGTTGAACATGGTATGGTAAAAAAAGTGGAATTTTTCTGTGAAAATAAAATTAACTTGGCAGAACTTAGAATAAGGGCGGCGTTTGAAATACAAGGGGAATTATTTTGGGGTTGGGCAATATCCCCGAAAATATATTCTTGACGAAATTGATTCTCTGCGAGAGAAATCAAGTAGTTGCATTTTAAGGATTCGGTGGAATCGAGTCGGAGGAAAATGACGCGAGGTCTTGACGACTTGCTACGGTTAGGATGACCAAAATTCTTTAAGGGATATGTGTGAGGGAAGGTGTTTTCCTGGTGACAAAGTTGTACAAGTTTGTGAGGGATATATTGTGTATTTTTGATAATACTGGAAAAATATGGGTAGTCAGAATCCACGTTCAATAATTGGGAAAATTCCGGAGTGAATAAGAAAGTGAGATCCGCGTCGGGAAACATAACTTGCCACAACGTGGAGGAAAAATTACAGTGAAAGAAGAGATAGGAGAGGAGGGTATGAATTATGAAAAGTATTCGGTGAAAACTCGACATTTTAAGGGGATTTGGTACACATTCGTGGCATGGATGTCTTGTATAGTGAAAAGATGTCGACCAAGAGGGGTTGTGTAACGAACAAAATACTGCGAATGTATATTAACCTCACTGACAAGGAAGTCATTGCATTGCCAATACATATCGTCCTATGGACGATCCATTAGTACATTAAAACATAATGGTGTGATGGCAGCTTGGGAATAAGTATGTATGTAATGCACTCATGCTTAACCGATACATATGTATTACTATCGGTGTTAATGCGCCATAAAATTTACGCTGTTGTTGGTAGCATGAATTTTTTAGAAAACAACTTTACGCAACATATTCGATTAGTATGTATATACATGATGTCGTCAAAGAGCTACTCAAATGAATATTAATGATGTGTAATACTTTTGAAAGACTTGGCTAACCAAGTCACGATACGACATCACGCACTATACATACACTAGAGTAAAGCCCATCCAAGGATGGGCGATACATGAATCTATAAAACGCCACGTCTGTCTGTTGCAATTTTTTACGTATTCTTCTCACCGCCTTAAAAATCCTAGCTGGGATTCTATAAAACAGATCAAAAGCCATTCTTTGACAAATTAGATAAGTCATGGATAGAAATATAACTTACACAGTTGTCCCAAATTAGGAAAAACGGTAGGATCATCCAGCCACACCAATCCTCATTATAAAATGGAAGTTCGTCCCATAATTTAACATCACGATAAGCTCTTAAGAGGACAGGTCGACGGACTTCATTACTTCGATGGATGGCAAAGTATTTATACTAAAAAACGACTTCCTTTAGGAAATAATATCACATTAATTTAGATTTAAGTTTAAAATATTCACCGCAAATTGCAATAGTGGTATGCCAAAAGCCCACCAGTTCATTCGATTATCATGCAGAAGAACATCTTTTAGTTTGATTGGGTCTTTCCTCAGACATCTTTTTGCATTATCCACGGCCTTCCGGAATCTCTCGAGGCGGTGAAATGCCTGATGGATTCTATTTTTTAATCCAACGACTTCTTGGGGGGAAAGAGCAAGGTCAGCAAAGAATCGTCTCATGAATTTTCGGAAGTCTTCTCTTTCTCCATTGACACGGAGAGAAAAACGATGAAGGTTAACAATTAATCCCTGCGGGGAAAGCTTATTATAAAGATGGACATATATTATTTACTAAATGATTAACGAAATACGAAACCTACATGAATTCCTTCAGGAAATACATTGACTCTGTAAAATGGTGTTGGAACGATCACATAATGGGTCTTGAAAAAATTGGTTGTGGTTGCAATAATAATTTGGTTATTGTCACAAACGATAAATAATTACAACTACTGAAGTTGTTTTATGATTAATCAAAAAATCTGCCCTGTTCAGCAGCTGCTGAAAAAACAACAGAAATAGTCGTTGAATTATTACTCTCTTTCCACCCACTACCACCACATGGTGGTTGCTCTGGCAGACTGGCAACTCGATGCATGACGTGTGAGTTCCGAGATGGAGCTGGCGAGGGGATCTTAGATCCGTTAGCCAACAGTTTTGGGGTAACTTGCATTCACACCACCCAGGCAGGGAACACCGTGGCAATTTATATATAAGTAGATACATAACATATGGAGGTACATATATCTCGAAAACTGGTGGAGGCCGGCCGGATTTTAGGCCATTTACGATGAAATTGCTTTGGTGTCTATCTGTCCGTCGTTAAGCACGATAACTCTCTTCAAACTTACATATTCAGTTGAAATTTTGCACACACCATCTTCGGGGCACAAGTAAAGATGAGTTCGATGATGGGCATGATCGGTCCAGTGGTTGACCGGTGGGGGTGATTTTGGTGGTTGTGATGCCTAGCAACGCATGTTACAGCCATCTTAAGAGGCCCTACGAAGTTGCTTGAAGCAAGTTGTTTTTTATTACGAATTACAAAAACGTACCCCCTACATCAATGATGTGGTCGGGGTGGTCGGGTTTCGTCTCGTCTAGTTCAGACGAAGATCGGACGCAGACCGGACGCGTGACACGACACCTGAGATTTCTCCATGTAAATAACTTCGCCC